AGAATGAAGACGGGGATGAAGACCTAGGGCCCTGCGGTACCTAGTCCCGCTGTCCTAACGGGACCGGGACTCTGTGTAACCCAGAGGCGAGTGTAGTGTGTGTAGCCATAGGCATAAGGTCTACACGAGCCGGATGCATTGTGTGTAGCCAGAGGCGTAGGGTCTACACGAGTCGAGTGTAGTGTGTAGCCAGAGGCATAGGGTCTACACGAGTCGAGTGTATTGTGTAGCCAGAGGCATAGGGTCTACACGAGTCAAGTGTAGCGTGTGTAGCCAGAGGCATAGAGTTTACACGAGATTAGTGGAGTGTGTAGTCGGAAGAAGGGAGACCACACGTATTGTGAAACGTAAAGATTTAATAAAAGTGTGTTACCCGTCAAGAAGTTCCTGCCGTCAATTCACATACTTCACTTAAACCAATTCTGGTGAACTTCCAAATGTTTACAGGCAAGGGCCATCTCTCCTTGCGGGATACGGGTCCAATTTCGACGCACAATTATATCATGCATGAGACTACATCATCATTAGTGTTGTGGTGGAGAGTATAAGCCACGACGCAACTATGTGCACAGCACGTATGTATGTTGAACTTCTTTCACACCGTACGTAGCCAACCGTGCTAATCAGAGATGCACGCCTCTTTCCCATATCTGTCTCTCCACATGAAATAAGCATAACATTTTTATATGAGACAACCCATCAGCTTTATGGGAGTGCATCATTTCAGCAGCGTAGGTTTAACACGATAACGTTCTGAACCGGTTTCCGGGTGTCCCGTGTTGCTTATATTCTGCACAAGGACGCCAGCGATTCGTTAGTCGTCGATTCGCACGCGCTTGTCTCACTGCTGTTCGACTAAAACCAGAGGTTCTTAACCTGGGGGTGCGAGATGCCCTTTCTGGGAGTGCGAAACATGGCCAGATTTTTGTTAGAAGTTAAATAATGGAAAACACTCATTATGCACGGGCACGTAAGTAACAACTTCTTTTTTTCGATTTAAAGCTTTCGTGACTGCAGGGATTCATCTTCTTATTTCTTTCCGTAAAGTCACGTAGAAGGAAAATAATAAAATAAAAAAAATAAAAAATACATTTCATAAACATTATGTTTTATTTTAATTATTTTATTATTCATAAAACATTGTGTTATTTTTATTATTTTCCTTCTACGTGACTTTACCGAAAGAACCAAGAAGAACAACTTTTTTGTCGCATCAAAGCTACGTATTTATTAACGTTATACATTTTTTTACGATTGAAAACCAAAGTGGTGCAAGCTGCATTGAATGTTCAGAATCACTGGACTAAAACATAGCGCCTACTTGCCCCTCGACCTCACTATTTCGGGCACCTATAGCTCTCTCATAATATCTGTACTTCCATAATACGGTGTGTTGGGTTAGATGGCGTAAATATATAAATGTGTCGTTAAACCCGCCACCACCCGACACAGCCAATTAGTAAGGTTTGTCACGTAAATAGAACATGCCACAGCATTTACAATCTGAGTACGACGTTTCGCCAGTACGTGACAGACCTTACTAATTAGCTGTGTCGGGTGGTGGCGGGATTAACGACACATTTATATATTTACGCGATCTAACCCAAATAAATCCTGTATTATGGATATTGGTTGCGAAAGTCTATGCATTAATATTTACACAGATTGTTTTTATTCGCACGCGTTTCGTTTCAGATCATGAATAACCTTCGTTTTGTTCGTCGTGTAATGCAATACGCGTTCCTAAAGAGACCGCTGCTCCTCGTTCTCTACTATTCAGATTGTTGTTGTTGCTGCTGCTGCTGCACTCACGCACCACGGATCTCCCTTGTAAAAATAGCCGGGCAACTGCCTAAACGGTACCATCATCCGCGTGACAAATAAAATCGACTTAAACAATGCGTAGAGTTTCAAGCGATGCATCGGTGGGGCGTGATTCGATTCCTGTTTTGGTGAATTTTCGATAGATTCACACTTTGTGGTTGTGGCTCAATGTCAAATACGGCTCCGCCCACAAACGTATCGATTCCGAGAGCACGTGGCATGGATCGTTATAACACGACCACTGATCATTAATTAAGGCGTTCGCTTACTAATTAAAAGTACCCTGTGGAGCGATGATATGTGTTTAATTGGCCGATAAGAGGTGTAATTATTATGGTATCGGGCAGGTACAGATGCATTTGAGTTGTTGTGATACAAAAGTAGTTTAAGTTATTACAACTGTGGTCGTCTTCTTGGTTCTTTCGGTAAAGTCACGTAGAAGGGAAATAATAAAATAATAAAAATAAAACGTAATAAAACACAATTCTCACGATGTTTCGGCCACAACGCAAGCAGCCGTCCTCAGGTGAAGAACAGGTCTGTCAGAAAGACAGCGTCCGAATGGTCGTGTTATTTGAAAGTGTTGTTTTTTGCTAGCAGCTTGACGTTTTGGACCTTTGCGCCTGTGCTCAGCAACGGTGTTTTAAAATGTTTACGACTAAGCTCCCCCCACAATCAATAACGCCACGGGGAGGCCTTTATCCAGCATTGGATTGCCGAAACGGCCTGTGAAGAGCTCTGTGGGAGCCGGGAGTAATTGTTGCAAAGGTACACACGGGTTTACGTAACTACATTAAAACAAAGATCCACATTCAGACCCATAGACTTACATATACAAATGACCTTTACGACAAGGTAACGGCCCACTTTGTAACAGCTCATTGGGCCCGTGAGGTTTTCTTTTTGTTCCCAAGTAAACCTGAATTTAATTAAGAACAGCAAAAACAGCAAGCAAAAATTCCAACGGGTCAACATAACGCAATACGATATCGTATTAGTATTGAGCGGGAAACACAAACGTTTCTCTGTTGATCGTAATTAGCTCATTGCTCTGCCTGCGGAGCGAACCAGTAACCGGTTCGATCAGCTCATTTAAAGGGGCACTGCAATATATCGATATCAGGGGCCGTCCCTTCACCTGTTTAAAGGGACAGCGCCCAATCAGCTGTCCCTTCACCTGTTTAAAGGGACATCACCCAATCAGCTGTCCCTCACCTATTTAAAGGGACACCGCTGAATCAGCTGTCCCTTTACCTGTTTAAAGGGACACCGCCCAATCAGCTGCCCCTTCACCTGTTTAAAGGGACATCACCCAATCAGCTGTCCCTCACCTGTTTAAAGGGACATCGCCCAATCAGCTGTCCCTACACCTGTTTAAAGGGACATCACCCAATCAGCTGTCCCTTCATCTGTTTAAAGGGACACCGCCCAATCAGCTGTCCCTACACCTGTTTAAAGGGACATCACCCAATCAGCTGTCCCTACACCTGTTTAAAGGGACATCACCCAATCAGCTGTCCCTTCACCTGTTTAAAGGGACATCACCCAATCAGCTGTCCCTTCACCTGTTTAAAGGGACATCACCCAATCAGCTGTCCCTACACCTGTTTAAAGGGACATCACCCAATCAGCTGTCCCTACACCTGTTTAAAGGGACATCACCCAATCAGCTGTCCCTTCACCTGTTTAAAGGGACACCGCCCAATCAGCTGTCCCTTACCTGTTTAAAGGGACATCACCCAATCAGCTGTCCCTACACCTGTTTAAAGGAACATCACCCAATCAGCTGTCCCTACACCTGTTTAAAGGGACATCACCCAATCAGCTGTCCCTACACCTGTTTAAAGGGACACCGCCCAACCAGCTGTCCCTTCACCTGTTTAAAGGGACACCGCCCAATCAGCTGTCCCTTCACCTGCTTAAAGGGACATCACCCAATCAGCTGTCCCTACACATGTTTAAAGGGACATCGCCCAATCAGCTGCCCCTCACCTGTTTAAAGGGACACCGCCCAATCAGCTGTCCCTTACCTGTTTAAAGGGACACCGCCCAATCAGCTGTCCCTTCACCTGTTTAAAGGGACATCACCCAATCCAGCTGTCCCTACACCTGTTTAAAGGGACATTACCCAATCAGCTGTCCCTTCACCTGTTTAAAGGGACATCACCCAATCAGCTGTCCTTTACCTGTTTAAAGGGACATCACCCAATCAGCTGTCCCTCACCTGTTTAAAGGGACATCGCCCAATCAGCTGTCCCTTACCTGTTTAAAGGGACATCACCCAATCAGATGTCCCTTCACCTGTTTAAAGGGACATCGCCCAATCAGCTGTCCCTTACCTGTTTAAAGGGACATCACCCAATCAGCTGTCCCTCACCTGTTTAAAGGGACATCGCCCAATCAGCTGTCCCTTACCTGTTTAAAGGGACATCACCCAATCAGCTGTCCCTTACCTGTTAAAAGGGACATCGCCCAATCAGCTGTCCCTTCACCTGTTTAAAGGGACATCACCCAATCAGCTGTCCCTTACCTGTTTAAAGGGACATCACCCTAATCAGCTGCCCCTCACCTGTTTAAAGGGACATCGCCCAATCAGCTGTCCCCTCACCTGTTTAAAGGGACATCGCCCAATCAGCTGTCCCTTCACCTGTTTAAAGGGACACCGCCCAATCAGCTGTCCCTTCACCTGTTTAAAGGGACACCGCCCAATCAGCTGTCCCTTCACCTGTTTAAAGGGACATCACCCAATCAGCTGTCCCTCACCTGTTTAAAGAGACACCGCCCAATCAGCTGTCCCTTCACCTGTTTAAAGGGACATCGCCCAATCAGCTGTCCCTCACCTGTTTAAAGAGACACCGCCCAATCAGCTGTCCCTTCACCTGTTTAAAGGGACATCGCCCAATCAGCTGTCCCTCACCTGTTTAAAGAGACACCGCCCAATCAGCTGTCCCTACACCTGTTTAAAGGGACACTGCAATGATGTCAGCGACCACACCCGAACCGACCATCGTGCAGTAGGCGTGGCCAGATGGAGATAGGCCACGCCCATCAGCACTTGTGGGCGTGTCTTAGTCTCGTCTAGCCCCGCCCTCGTTATTAAATATGGCAGTTGGTGGGCGTACTCAAAGGTGATTGGCACCGCCCCTCGAGTGGGCGTGGTCTCAGTGGACCCGGAAGTGGCCGCCTTAAAGCGGCGTGGCGGCGCCCGCTCCGCCGCTGTTTACGCGCGCGCCGTTTCGGAGTCTTTTTTTTTTTGTAAAATTTTAATTTTTACAATTAAATATTTTGTACGTTTTAACACCACCCCCCCTCCCCGTCTCCCCTTTTTGTACTTGTAATATACAGCGCATTGCAGGCACTGGACGCACAGACGCAAGCGCGGTTCGTAATTGCATTAACACGTTATACCACTCGTCTCGTTCACACACGCCGGATTAGGCACACAGGCAAAGATTACCCGTATAGCCTGCAATAGATAGCTGCAGTCGAAGGGGAGGGCAAGTGCTGTTATAGCGTGCACCAACTCAGACAGGCACACACTGCACGCGTATGCGCGCGTCGCGATTAAGCGCTGCGCTTCGTGCTAAAAGCACGCGGCTGCGGTAGGGTTACAAGCCCTGCCAGCTCCTAGCCCGGAGCGTGGCTGGCTGGCTTGCTGGCTGCTGCTGGTGGTGGTGTGTGTCGTCGGCAATGGTGCTGGGCAAGGTTCGCTCCCTGCGCGTCGCCTTCGACTGCGAGCCGGGCCAGGCACCCGTGTTCTCTGGCGGCGACGTGGTGGCGGGCCGCGTGTTGCTGGAGGCGGCGGGGGAGCTGCGGCTCCGTTCGCTCATGCTGCAGGCCCGCGGACACGCCAAGGTGCACTGGACCGAGTCTCGCAACGCGGGCTCCAACACGGCCTACACGCAGAACTACAGCGACGAGGTGGACTTCTTCAGCCACAGGGACGCCATCATCGAGCCCGATACCGGTGAGTGACGAGGTTGGTTTGGTGATGATGTTGGTTTTTGGTGGTCGTGGTTTTGTTTTGTTTTGCCACGAGGGAACCCCCAATGGGCAATGAATCCCCAGTTGTTGATGGGGGGGGGGGTTTGGGTCGCACCGTAGAAACGTGGTTACAGCGGGGGGGGGGCGGGATAAAACCCGTGAACAAAAAAACCAACCAAAAGCTTCTGCGCGTTCCGAACGGCAAGGTCGTGCGTCAACATCCTGATACAATCGGAACAAATAATACGACGAGGCTGGAACGAATGACACGCAGACCGTATTCGGTGCACAACAGCAAGCCAGGTAGGGTAGTGGTTGGTTGAGGAGTCTGTAGTTAATAGGAGGACTTTGGAGAGGGGTGGGAGACACTCAGGGATGTGGTTCAGGCTCGAGGTGGTGAGGATTCGAGGCGTGGTGAGGTTCACGGTGACGGTGACCTCTCTAAGGAGTTGTTGCCAGTCACCGCTGGTCAGAACTCCGCGATGTTGAGATACACGCTTGTGATGAGAATCTTTATACTCGAGGAATCCGATAAGCTATAGAGCTCTCGTTGTTTTTCACACATGTCCAGTGGTTAGTTACGCTCGTGGTGGCGAGTAAACTTGCCGTGGGTGATACCGGTCCTCTGTGCGAACATCCCCTCGTCTTGTTGCGGTCCGTGGTCCCGTTGTGCACCTTCCCTGAGGCCCCCTTTTGTGCCTCGGCAGCTGGGGTTGGGCAGGGCGAGAGAGTGGAGGGTGGTGGGGGGTTGACACTGGGAACCCTCCCCCGCTTTGCTGATGTGGTTGAGGCTTTTAAGCAGGGAGTGTGCGAGGCTTATTTAGGCCACACAACAACCGCATCGAGTTTGGTCCGGCGTTGAAGAATCCCTCCCCACTCCCATTGTTGCTCGTCTGCTGTGCATCTGTTTCCAATGGCCACTTCTCTCGGCTTAACCCAACGTGTCTCAGTTATGGCAAAGCAAAGGGGCACATTTTTTCTGGACCAGTCACCAACCTTGTGCATGAAAGAATAAAGAATCTCGTAAACAACTGTCTGCCCAGCTGCTATTTTCCTGGAAACGTTTTCACGAACTCGCTCTGCATCTCCTGAAGCTCTTGAGTGTTGCCTGTTCCTCCATGCGGCAGTCACCCTTTGCAGTTGTGGGATCATTGCCCTTTAATATACAGGAAATGTATAAATAATGACTTAAAAAAAAACATCCCTGGTTCACAAAATCTTTAGCAAAATACGTGCACTGCATAGTCGCTTCCCTGTTTATTTGTGTGAACTGCATGACCGGGACTAAGAATAATGTTTGTACATGTGCCCAACAAGCCATAATCCCTGCTGGTGCGAAGTTAAAGACAATAGATTTGCAGCTGTTATCATAAATATAATACTGACAATTCAGACTTGGCATTCTTAAAATTGATACCATGGTATTTTTGGTTTCATTATTTTTTTGCTATCCAGTGCCGCCATATTTTCCCAGCCAAGTTTTCTTGTTTTGATTCCTAGCGAAATGATAGCAATGCGTTGTTTACCAATTCAGGCATGCCAGAGCGTACGCATGCCAACGCAACGCACGGGAGTTCACACACAACAATTGCATTGCCTCATCCAATCGCATCGCTGCGTCGCCGAACCTCGAGTTGCACACATTGCAGTGCAAAGACAAATACAGAGATTCCCCGTATAGCCTTAGCAGACTGTTGGGGCAAGTGCTGTTAGCGAGCACCTATGAAGGACGGAACGGCACACGAGGGGGTGGGTGGCCAGCACCACACCCGGCCGCCTTTGTCTCCCCAGTGGCGATGGTTACACCTCACCAGGTACTCATTTGAGGCTGAGTCGACCCAGGGCTTGGATATAATCGTCACTGGTGTTGGCCGTGAGCGGGAATCGAACTCTGGTCGCCGAGTTCGTAGCGTAGCGCTAACCGCTTCACCACCGCTCCCGCATACACACACACACGTGTAGTATATGGTGTCATATTTACGGTCATATTTTTCTGCCATCTGTTCTTCCAAACTGTTTAAACAAAGCTCGCCCCCTCCTACCCCACTTGTGTAACAAGGACTGCGATGGGTGTTCACGAATTGTTTGGCCTTGCAAAGTCAACAAGGACATCCATCACATGGCAAGAGTTGCATGCCCCTTGCTATTGGGTTGTACACAAGGCGGGGTGATAACATTGCTTTCGAACACCCTTGGAACCCGTGGGCAGAAACACCAGAAAATAAAGGCAAGTCAAACGCGGACTTTTTGAGGTCACACTCGAAGCAAAACTGTGGTGGGAGGCGCTGAATTTCTTTTTGTTCGGATTGTTTTTTGCAGTCTGCGTTAGCAACGTGTTCTGTGCGGTATTGAGTAAGCCACTCTTAATGTTAGCAGCAATTCCGCATTGGTGTCCGGAAGTAGTAGATGCATGACTGATGTAATTGCGTTCTTGCCTGCAGTTGCAGGTGTGTCCTGTAAGTGCATTAAATATAAAACGTGCTGGGTGCATCATCTACCCTGGTGATCTCAGTCGGGCATCCCATTGCACCTGGGTCTGCCCCGTGACCTCCAGTCAGCGAGCCCCTTTGACACTTCACGTGGCCTCATCAAAGTGGACTTCACGTGGTGGCGGATGGCGGGTATTGTTATTGTGGTAAATAAGCTGCGTCGTGTTGCTAAGGAGAAAGGGGGAAAGTTTGACTCCTAACAATTATCAATTGAACCAAACAAAGCCTTCCTGAACTGAGTGTTCCACGACCGATCTAAACCTTTAAAAGGCCACGTTTGCTAACAACGATCCAGCCCCAGGTACACAGCAATTATACATCTAAACCAGCGGTCGGGAACCTATGGCTCGCGAGCCATATATGGCTCTTCCGGTGACGGCATATGGCTCCCAGATAATTTTGAGTTGAAAAAAATAATAATAATAAAATAAAATCAGTTTGGAACTGATTTTAAAATACTTGTGATATTGCTTAATTATACTGTGTCATTTTAAAGTAAACAGAAATTAGTTTTCAAGATAAAATGTCTCGGGTCACGGGTCCCGTGACCAGAAGTCGCATTAAAAGTAAGACATATTTAATTTATTATACGTTAAAAATACTATATAGCTCTCAATGAAATATATTTAGAAATATTTGGCTTTTATGGCTCTCCCAGTCAAAAAGGTTCCCGACCCCTGATCTAAACAAATAGTTTTTACGTGGTACCTGCCCATCCTCTCTATCTTGCATTTAATCTTACGCCGTGCCAAATGCCACTGCAATTCCCAATTCGGCTGGAACTTTGAACTGCAGGTCTGTTGTTATTTAGGGGAGGTCAACATTGCAAAAAAGAGCTTTAAAGCCCATCGGATTCCTCCAGCAATATTCTGATTCTGGCTGCTCAGCCCAAATGTCACTTCGTTGTTGTCGCTAATGCATTGCTTAAAAATACATCTGACCGGGGGGGTGGCATTTAAAAAAGTTATCAGACGGCACTGTGGGGATACGTGTGGTTGGTGGTGGTGGTGGTGGCGGATTATTTCTGCATTCTGCATCTGCGAAAGGGAAAACCACCACATTGCCATAGCGATGGCATTCTAAATGCGTGGCTGTGTGAGATGTGTTTTTGTTTCGTTGTTGAAGCTATGGCTGCGTGTGAGGGTACACTAAATGAGTACATGGGGCATTGGTGTGTAAACATCGCCACTGGGGAGACAAAGGCGGGCCGGGTTGTGGCCCTATCCACACCCCCACCCCCTCTGTGCCGGCCTTAATAGGTGCTCGCTAACAGCAGTTCAGGCTATAGGACGCGATGGCAAACTCGCCTCTGTGCGTAACATGTGTGTAACATGTGTGTGTATATGGGGGGGGGGGCGAGTTCGATTCCCGCTCACGGCCAAACCCAGCGACGACGATCTGAACCGGTCCTGGGGCCGTCTCCCCCTAGGTAGACTCGGCCCCAAATGAATATTACTCCGTGCGATGTGCGCGGTAAACATCGGCCACTCGGGAGACAAAGGCGGCCGCGCGTGGTTTGCCGCCCCCCCCGCCGCCCGCCCTTTAATAGGCACGACTCTCTTCCTAAGCACTTGCCCCACTAGTCCGCCGAGGCTACACGGGGGATCTTTGCCTGTAGCTTGTGTGTGTGTGGGTTTGAGTCTGCCACGGAGCAGCTCAATCCTGTTCAAACCAGTCTCTGTTGCTGGGGCCCGCTGTGTGAGATAGCGCCCGCCCATTGGTCGGCCGCCTCGTCACGTGGCCGCCGAGCGAGTGCGGACAAACAAGTGGAGGCGGCGGGGAGGGGAGGGGGGACTGACTGGCTGTGGTTGTTGGTGGTTGCGGTGGTGGCGGTTGCGCTGGTGGTGGTGGCGTTGTTGGTGGTGGCGTTGTGGGTGGGGGTGGTGGTGTTGTTGTTGGTGGTGGTGTTGTTGTTGGTGGTGGTGGCGTTGTTGTTGGTGGTGGTGGCGGTGTTGTTGGGGGTGGTGGTGGTGGCGGTGTTGTTGTTGGTGGTGGCGTTGTTGTTGGTGGTGGTGACGGTGTTGGTGGTGGCGTTGGTGGTGGGGGTGGTGTTGTTGGTGGTGGTGTTGGCGGTGGCGTTGTTGGTGGTGGTGGTGGTGGTGTTGTTGGTGGTGTTGTTGGTGGTGGTGGTGGTGTTGTTGGTGGTGTTGTTGGTGGTGGTGACGGTGTTGGTGGTGGTGGCGGTGTTGTTGTTGGTGGTGGCGTTGTTGTTGGTGGTGGTGACGGTGTTGGTGGTGGCGTTGGTGGTGGGGGTGGTGTTGTTGGTGGTGGTGTTGGCGGTGGCGTTGTTGGTGGTGGTGGTGGTGTTGTTGGTGGTGTTGTTGGTGGTGGTGGTGGCGTTGTTGTTGGTGGTTGTGGTGGCGGCATTGCACGCACAGCGGGCAGCACACCGGGCCCAGATTAGCGCCGTTGTTGGAAGTTCTTTATTATGGCTGCAAATAGGAAATGGCACGTGTGTGCGTGTGTGTGCGGCTGGGCTGTTGTCTGCCGGGTGTGGTGCTTGCTGGCCACGAAGACGAAGATCCCATAGCCCTGTAAGAGACTGTAGGGGCAAGTGCTGTTAGCGAGCACCTATTAAGGCCGGAACTGTCCACGAGCAGGGTGGGTAGCCAGCGCCACGCCCGGCCGCCTTTGTCTCCCCAGTGGCGATGTTTTTACACAATCACCCCGGCTACTCATTCGAGGCCGAGTTGAACTAGGGGAGGCCCAGGACCGGTTCAGATAATCGGCACCTGGTGTTGGCCCACCCCTAGGTCGACTCGGTCTAAAATGAGTACCTGGAGCGTTGTGTAATCATTGCCCTTGTTGAGACAAAGGCAGTGCTGCCCCCACCACCAACTCGTGTGCTCTTCCGGCCTTAATAGGTGCTCGCGAACAGCACTTGCCCCACAAGTTTTGTTGTATGGAGGGTCTTTGTGCGCTCCCTCCCCACACTTCCACTGCACAATTTAACGTACACACAATGTGGTCGGCCACGTTTCATTCACGGCATGTGCGTGTGTGTGCCGTGGTAGATGCAAGGCCCAGATAGCTGCTGCTTGCACAATACAGGAATAACAACACTGACGGAGTTTCGATTTAAAGCTTTCGTGACTGCAGGGATTCATCTTCTTGGTTCTTTCGGTAAAGTCACGTAGAAGGGAAATAATAAAATAATAAACATTTTACGTAATTAAATCGAATTCTCACGAGTGTATTTAATTCAGGTGAAGAACAGGTCTTTCTGAAAGACAGCGTCCGACAGCTCTGTTCTTCACCTGAGGATGGCTGCTTGCGTTGTGGCCGAAACGTCGTGAGAATTGTATCTTATGTGTCATTGTTATTTTATTATTTCCCTTCTACGTGACTTTACCTAAAGAACCAAGAAGAGAAATACTGATGGAGCTCTGATATTGGTCTGGTTTGTTGTGAGCCTGAAATTTCCACTCGTGGGAAAATGCCCCTGCTTCATTCCAAAGTCATCCTTTTCCTTCGTAAATGTCCACCAGTTGTCTCAGAATTCGTTGATTTCATCTCGCCCGATTTTTTTAAAAGTTGTACAATAATAATAAACCAAGAAGAAGAATAATAAATAGGTTTCAATTGTTGGTGCTTCACAAATATTCGGTGGGGGGGGGGGGGGGTTGGAAGGTCTTGGTTGGAAGGTCTTGGTTGGAAGGTCTTGGTTGGAAGGTCTTGCCTGCCTGCCTTGGTGGCCATTCCACAGTGCCAAGCATCAGCCTTGACCTGCTGCGTCCTGTCGGAGGGAACTCCCCAAGTTGCAACCCCGGGTCTAATGCCTCATTTCTAAATGGCAGGGTTGTTAGTGAGCTTAACGATTCCAACACCATGTGCTTTACTTCCAAGGCTCCTGTGCCGAAGACGTCTTGTCCCGATGCCGGGTTCCCAGTTGGTTAAAGGTATAAAAAAAAATGTGTTAATTAATCTGTTCAAGGTACGCGTGTGTACAATGACCGATGTTAAGGACATTCTTAGATGGCATAATTAATGGAGTTGCACTGTAACGCGCCCCAACAGCTGTGAGATTATTCTCACGTGTGATTTAATGTGTGGTGGTGCAAAGCATTGATGCCAGCCTTGCGTTAGACCGACGCAACTTCCACTGTCGAAATGAAGGCACCAATTTGCAGGGGTGGCTATAACGAGGTCTACCACGTGACACATTCCACTTGCAATTGTCGTATTCCAGTACTGATTACCACACTGATGTAAAACAAGGTTTTTTTTTCTGCGTGGATGATTGCATTGTGCTCCATCTTGAGATTGCTGCTGCTTGTTGGAGGCCTTCATCTCGCAGTGGATTGATATTTGATGATAATGAACTAAACTCTAATTTTACGAGGTAAGGCCCACTGAGCTATGTAGCTCGTTTACAGAAGTGACCTGGCTTTCACAAATGATAGCCCAATGAGCAGTGGCTTATCTCGTGGAAATTCATAGCAGCCAAAATACTCGACGCATGTTTATAAAATGTGGAGGGGAAAAATCTACGGGGTGAACCTGCAAACTCCTAAATATACAGCAGGCGTCAAGGTTAGGATCGAACCCACGCCCTCCTGTGTATACCAGGGGAGATGGTTAACATCTCACCACCGTGGCGCGAAAGATAAATTGCATCAAACGTCTATCATGCACCTGTCCACAGGTGTGTGTTCCACAACTTGCCTGCTATTAATTCTGCTGAGCACACATATTAACACCACTCGCAGATCGCTCAGCTTCTCAGCTGGTGACCGTTCAAGTTCAAGTTTTTTTTAAGCTCGAGGCCAAGGCTATGCTGAACCCTTACCCTCGCTGACGAAGCACACACTTCCTGCACTCTTGTAAAATTAACACATGAGCAACACGCGCTAATTCTGCCGTCGGTGCAGCGTCCTCACCCCGCTTGTGTTGTGCGGCACGACTGCTTAATTTGTTAGTGTTTGCAGTTCACCTTGACTTGTGTGGGTTTTTTTAAATTGCCCCCGTTGGCAAACCGAGTTAAGGCTCGACTCTTCGCTGAACTGACACAAGCAGATTTCCTCTGGTCTGCCAATGGCTTCACATTTTTTATATGCCCAGGATACATTCCGTACTCGTGTAGTGCAATGCGATTTGCATCGAACGGCGATGCTCTCCCGCTTTCAATCTGTCATTTTTGTTGTTGTTGCTTGTTCCGCTCTTGCGCATCGCAGTTTAGCCATTAATCGAAAGCCGCCACCATAAATTTCCCGTAAGATACAAACCATTATGGTAAGTGCAGCAGGGGGGGCGGTAATTTTGTCTCCTTTTGGAACGGCATGAATATTATAACGACGGTCGAGCACCTAACAAAGAGTTGGCTTTTTACAGAATGTCAGAAAAGTGTTTTTTTACATTTCATGCTCCGCAAATGCCCGAAGCAAATCAGTGCCGTTACTTGCCGCTGCTGCTCTTCCGCCAAGTGCCAATGCAGAGGGTGCGGCGGTGGCGTCACCGCATGGCATTGCGCGCGCACGCTCCTATGCAGGCAATTCCTTGGCTGTGTTGGAAAACCGCTTCGGACCGGTTACGACCGCTCTGTTCCACATCCAGCCGGCTAACAACACAAAAAAAGGGAGCAGCGGCTTCCATCAATAACCACCACCGCTCCCGCTCGGCTGAACGTTTTCTCCCAAATGCTCGCGATCGACCGAATTTCTCCCCAATTTTTTTGTCGCGCGACGAATCCCAACTATCGGCAGTTGCCCAATGGCTCACGACAACTCGGACAAACACGTGAAGTCATCGCCACGGAATATTGCGAAAGGGGCACGGTTGTTTCTATTGTTTGCGTGGAAAACCGATATGCGCGAACAGAAGCGGAACATATTAGGCAATTATCCATGGATATTTTTAAACGGCAATGTGATTATTGTCCATTACCATCCGCGTGAGCGCAGCGTTGTGCTGCAACACGGGGCGGCAGTGTGGAATGAGAAGGGGCAAATTTGACATGTTATTGATGATGTATTTGTAATACATATTGGTAGTGCAACTTGTCAAACCTTGGTATGGTCTAGCATCACCCCCCCCACTCCTGTCTACCAAGCATTATAAATGGATACATCCAAGCTAGTCAATCCGCATATTGCATTTGGTGGGGTGAAAAGAGTGGGCGTTCCACCCCGCCTGGGCGTCTGACCAGATGTTCTGACCAGATGGTCTGACCAGCATGGAAGATTAACCAAATACTCTCTCAAAGGGGTTGTCTAGACCTCCCTTTTTAGTAGAGGCTCTTCAGACAACAGTGAAATGTGCAAGCAATTGCAGGGCTGCACCTTGGCCTTTTTTTCAAGGTTAAAATTGATTATTCTCATGCAGTGATTTGTCTCGTTATGTCGAGACTTTTGTGGAGTGGCAAGAGTTTGATTTGTGGTTCGACAAGTCTGCTGCCTTGTATCACAGTGACTACTTAGCATGTGGCTTGGTGGTCAGCCAAATCATATTTTGATGTGCAAAGCCACTCATTGCACTATTTGCAGCCAAATATTCGGCCACACCTTTAGAGAAGTGACTCAGTGTAACCGGTATTAACCAAGCATCCCGATGCTGAAAACTTGCCTGCAAAAATTTCTCAATTTGGGATTAGCAGAGCAACCGTTGGACCCGACCACAAATACATGTCAGAACCCTTCTGAAAATATTGGGACTCGGTAAGGCTTGCCTGGTTAAACAAGTGGAATAATAGCAAGAAAATGTCATAGCTCAAATGCAGAACAACTAAGGGTTTTATATTTATTTCAATGCCATGAAATTGGGTGATATTTTGATTCTTCAAAAGCTCTATTTATGAAATCATGTGGAGGGAAAGGCTTTGCAATACGGCAACACGCGAGCACTTAGACTCAGCCTGCACATCCATGCCGTGGTGAACAACAACCTTTATTTATAGAGCGTCTGAGAGCAAAGGCATCTCGAGAGGCTTTACAAAACCGAAAAGGACACTTCGTTAAGGAGGGTATAAGGCGTTGTTTGGATTGTGTCTGGACGGAAACGAGGAAGAGGAGAGTGAGATAACAACACTGCGGCACTTTCTGTAGGTGGGGGACAGGGGGATGGGTGGTGGGGGGGGTGCTGCCAGGGCCCAGCACCAACAACAGCAAGTCCCAGGGACAGCCGGGGTTGCACCAGTGAGTCCATTGTAGCTTTTGTGGGCCAAAGGCCCATCACCTGTGGGCCCTAGGGCATCTTTTGGGGGGAGGAGGGGGACATTTAACCACCGAGTCTCTACATGCTGACAAAAACTGGCATCCCGTACATCCTTGCACACCATCTAGACCACTGCCGTCGTCACAATGCCCAGCGGCTTGTGTGTGGGTTTGCGAATGCCATCAATCACATTGGGATCTCCCTCCATTACGGGAGAACAGTCGCCTGCAAGTCGTCCTTGACGTTGGGAGTGGTTGTTCCAGAGCTTCTAACCACGTTGCGTTTCTTTCTTTCTTGGCAGAAACGGCGGTGGAAAACCGTGAAGAAGCAACCACCGTCTTGCAGGCTGGAAAACACGAGTTTGCCTTCAGCTTCCAGCTGCCTCAGGGGTACGTTAACCGTCTCGTCTTGACGACTGCCGAGTAACATCCCCCAGAATTTGGCGCCACTGTGGCAAGATGTTAACTCCCTACAGGATGTCGTGGGTTCGATCCCGACCTTGACGGCTGTATATTTGGAGTTTGCGTGTTCTCCCCATGGTCCTGTGGATTTCTCTCAGGGTTCTCCAGTTTCTCCCCACATTTAGAATCGATATGCCTTCAGAGTATTTGGCTGCAATAGTGGGCCTTAACTGTTAAAATAAAATCCAGCCGATGTGGTGTACCGTTGCTACGAATTACTTCCTGCGGTGGTGACTTGATCGGCAATTTATCTGTTCATCTCGAGGCTGGTGGATGAGCCGGTGAGAACAGCTGCAGAACTGGTAACCTGGTGATGGTCTGAGATGCTGCTGCTGATCATAGCAGGCAGCAGTGTGACTATGTGGTGCATGTGTTGGAAATCAAATGTATTTACTCTGGAGGAATCTGATGAGCTATAAAGCTTTTCACATATTTCCAGGTCGTAGAAATGCATTGCGATTCGTATGGTTGGCTACGTACGGTGCGGAAGAAATTCAACGTACAGTGAGATTTGCGCACTCAGAGTCTCATAGACTCTCAAAGATTTAGCTATTCACAACTTACTTTGTATGGCAGGGAGTTGGTCAGGATTTTCCGTTCAATTCTCTTGTCGGTGAGTTGAGCCGGTGGATGCCATCGGGCATTAGTGGCCTCGTGGTGAATGTCTGAGATGCTGCCGGCAAATGATTTGAAGCGGCCAGCGGTAGCGTGCGATTTGGTGGCCACTGTCAGACTGCGCTATTTTTATGGCACCGGATCATTCGACCTTGTGTTTTTATTCTTATATAATTTTTTGAGTGAATTAAATGTCTCGTACAGTGTTATCCATGTCATGTTTGTTACACATTGGGATTATCCAGCTCTTATTTAACCTTAACATGTTAAATAGAGGGTCCAACTTTTAAAAAGAGGCTCATGTTTTCATAATGGCCTCAAGGCTAATGATAGTTTACAGGGGTTTTTTTTCTATCCCCTGCCAGATAGACAAAGGCCTCCACACCATGTTGGTAATGGGAGTTGTTTGATCATATTCTTTGGTTCTTTGAAGAACCAAAGAGTGGAAATCAAATCAAGATTGTTTGATCATATTTTACCTTTTCCTGTCAGTGCGGGGGTTTGTGAAGGGAGGCCCTCTGGACCAGTTCAAATGCCACTCGCCACTTATATAAGCAGTTGCCCTGAATAAAAACTTAGTTGCTGGGTTTCAAGTGCAGTACATGGACCACCACTGCTACTACTTATGAATATCAACCTCCCTCTATATGACAGTAGTTTTGGTACTTCTGAAGAGAGGTGCATACAGGATTTGCTCGGGGTAAAAAAAAAAAAACCCCCATGAGAAAAAGTTTGGAATAGGTGGTTTAATCTGAGGTGTGAGTCACTCAATTAGTCTTTGAACGCAGAGGGTTACTGAAGAAACAAATCAACATTAAATTTCTGAAGTCATCGCCCCCGCATGCACCAGTGTGACTCAACGCACTCCACCCACCCTTAGTCACTTTTGTGCGCGCGCGTGCCAAACGTGCAGCTAATGAGACGCTAATGTTTCGCTCTCTGCCCGTCACGTTCTGCTGCGCACGCAGACCTCTTGCTACCTCCTTCGAAGGCAAATACGGATTTGTCCGCTACTGGGTCAAAGTGGAACTTCACCGCCCGTGGACCCTCGTGCAGAAAGCCAAGTCGGAGTTCACGGTCATCGAGCAGGTCGACATCAACACTCCGGACCTGCTGGTGAGTCGCTCTCCGTGGCTGCCTCCTACCAGATCGGTGCTCCCTTCTCTTTTTCTCACGCGGTTCAACTCTCGATTGTCCCCTCACCGTGTGCAGACTCCCCTGGCTTTTATACTGCTTGGGGGGGGGGGGTTCGTGTTGAGCGCGAACACGTGCCATCTACGTCGCAGTCGACATCGGTAGATCCGCTGACGTCGTTATTCGAGAATAGCGTGAGCAGAATGGTGACCAGCGTCTAGTTTCCAATTTTTAAAAATTGCCCTGCAAATTACTTAATTGTATGAAAACCCACATTGCCGTGTCGCCCCCGTCGCTAGATCTCAGTGAAACATATGCATGTTGACCTTCCTTTGCACCGCCGTACGAAGCCAACCGTGCTAATCGGAGGTGCGGGGGAAGGACAACAAACTAAATGCAAGAAGCGGTTGGAAATAAATTAGTGTTTCAGTCTATATTTAAAAGCGCATAGCTCCAATGGCTTCCTAGCAGTGGAAAGAAGCGCATTCCAGATGGCCGCAGAAGCGCATCTGAAAGCACGCGATGCGGTGACTCAGTCACTTCCTTGTCACTCGTAGCTACCACCGGTCTAGTTAGCACTTCCGATGTTAACTCTGTTGGCTTGTGCTGTCAGGATGAACCACGTGCTATAGAACTATAATTATTATTGCTGCTACTGTCCACGCTGTTTATTGACCATGCTTCTTGCGAAAATAGGAAAATATAAATACGAAATGTAATTCCACACTCGTTGGCGCCTTCTATCGCGCGCGTGCCCGGCAACGTTAGCTACCCCTCACTCGTAACGCGTGCCCAATTTTATCTTAAGACTGACAACACATTCAAAGACTTCACGTAGGTAAACGATAAATAGCTTTTTTATCGCTAAATTCGTATCTGTGGTGTGTATTCTTTTTATCTGAGCCACCCCTCTTCACCCCTCTCCCACCATTGCCACGGTCAATCGAGAGTTGATCGTACAAATATTACTTCGTGTGTTTCTTGCTGTATTGACTTTTGCTTTTTGTTTTATTGTGCAAGAGAAAAAGGAATGTTTTTTGGAATGGACATAATGTCAAGAAAGTTGCGACTGCAGACCGTGACCCTCTTTGCTGCGATCGAAACGTCTTGTTGATTTTAAGATATACAGGGTGACCCATTCATAGATACCCTGCTAGAATAATATGGGGAAATGAGAGAATACAAAAGGTAACCTTGCAATGATTATTGGTTTTTTACCCTTTTTTATCTGGCAACAAAACTGACACCTTTTTTACAAGGAGTCATGTTTGCATAGACCACACTACCTGCAGTTGTAATGCAAACAAAAAACATAACTCTGATAATGTATGCACTGTCCTTGAAGTTGATTGGTCCACACCCGAGACAGCTTTCCTTAGAGCCTAGTCTCACATGGTGTTGGACCAGATGACGCCAAAAGGCGCACAACTCAAAGACAATGCACCATCAGAGTATGAGAGCTCGGGGTATGCATTTACACCATTGGAACCTCATTTGCCAGTAGAAAAATATAATAATTGTTTTTTTACCCTTTTTATCTGGCAACAAAACTGACACCTTTTTTTGCAAGGAGTCATAGACCACAATACCTGCAGTCGTAATGCAAAAAAAAGTGTCAGTTTTGTTGCCAGATAAAAAGGGTAAAAAACCAATTATATTTTTCTACTGGCAAATAAGGTTCCAATGGTGTAACTTTGCAATGTCTGTCATCAATCTTCATAGACTCTTAGATTCTTTCACACACTCCCCTGTGAGATATGGAGCCATTGCTTTCACAATATTTGGTCGCCAGTTGTGAAGACCGAGGGGCCATTGGAGTCCAGCAGGGTATCTGTACATGGCTCGTCCTGTGCATTCAGCTGTGCCCCCAACTTGTTGTCATGGAGTTCATATTCTCCCAGCTGTGCCACGGTGGCGAGATGTTATCTCCCTCGCCTGGTATGCAGGACATCGTGGGTTCCATCCTGACCCTGACGACACCTGTATATTTGGAGTTTGCATGTTCTCTCTCCCTGTGGTCGCGTGGATTTTTCTCCTGGTCCTCCATTTTTTCCCCTCCACATGTGTTTTTTAGAGTTTGGCTGCTATAAAGTTCCACGTTTATGCATGTTGAACTTCTTTCGCACGGTACATAGCCAACCGTACTAATCGGAGTTGCGGAGAAAGGACGACAAACTGAACACACAAAAAAGCAGTTGGAAAGAAATGTGTTTTTTCAATCCGAGCTTTAATTTGTGGTCAGGTCACTTCTGAAAAAGAGCTCTGTACCTCAGTAGGCCTTACCTGGTCACATAAAAAATAGTTGAGAGCGGTGTCCGCGGACGAGCAGGAAGCGGCAACCGCAACAACGCGCCTTGTCCGACCCACGGAGCGGTCATCGGTGCAGCTTTGTTCCCTTGACTTAAAAAAATATATATTTACCCTCTTGCGTCATCAATTGTGTCCTGTTTGGTCTCGCGCTGTGACAATGACTGGTCCCGATGGTTTTACAACGACCGGCTTTTAAAAATAAAGGGGTTTCTGGTTGCTCTTGCAGATGGCAAGGCGCTATAAACCCCCCCTTCCCTGGCTGGCGCCCTCCCTACCCCCTCCCCCCTCCCCGTGGCTGTGTTGTGTCTCAGTCTCCTGCGGGCGGCACCAAGGAAAAGACTCTGTGCTGCTGGCTCTGCACCTCAGGACCCATCTCGCTCTCTGCCAAAATCCAGCGCAAGGGGTACTGCCCCGGTGAGTGGATTGAGCCATGTGTGGGTTTGTTCCGCCCCCCCCCCACCCGCGTTTTTGAAAGGCGGGGTAGCAATCGATGAAGGTTGAATTTCCTGCCTGCCCGCCGTCCTCCCGAAGCGCTTCACGTTACGGACAGCGGATATTAGAAAAGAAGGAAGCGACGCAGATGGTCCTCTTGTGAGCCAGAGTTCTATTGGATTTGTGAAGGTAGCGTTACTCGAGCATTCCGATTAACTTTTGGGGTCGTGAAACATCCGAGGTCGGCATCGCGATTCGCAGAGTTAAATCTGAAGCGGCACCACGCTCCAATCGGAGTGCTGAATCTAATTCTCCAACGTGCATGTGACGTCATGTATGTTTGTATGTTGAACCTCTTTCGCGCACCATAAGTATCCCACCGTGCTAACCGGAGGTGCGGGTAATGTGGCCTTTTTTTATAGGCTGCAAAGTGACATTCTGAGCCGTTTTGACGAGAGCGGGTCCGGGTTTAATTTGGTTTCATTTTCCGGTATTTACATTATGATGTTTGTAATGTTTTCTCGGCAAGTTGGTCCACATTGAATCGAAAGGAATGTTAACCAGTGGGTTTTCAGGGCCTGCTTGCACAATGCGATGTCTACAAGGATACAATGCACAATGCAACAGGAGCCGTTGTACTGTACGATGTGCCCTGCCGTCACGAACCCACATGACCTCGGTGTGGCGAGCCTCTCATCCAGCAGTGGATTGGCGACAAGTGCTGGACATGTATGCGATAGCTGTTTTTGTTACTTTATCCCGGTTGCTAAGCACGCTCCTCAAGGCTAAAAATGCCAAATGGCCAGGGACAAACGGTACTCGTGAAGGTATAATAGATGAGCGTTTAAACGTGTATTGCATTGCGCAACGTTATAATAAGAACTTGGGGAGGGAATCCCAAAGCGGAGCAGTGCGAGGGAAGAGGCAACGACAATAAAGGGTGTCCTCTGCAGTGAATCGGAATATTTCTGCTGGAGGAATCCGATGAGCTGTGAAGTTCTTTTTTCACATGTCCAATAGAGGCAGGTCAGTCGAGTAGGTGGCAGCAGGTTGGTGTGGTGAGCGAACGCGATGGATAAGATGAAACGGGTCAGTCTGGTATCGAGTCCTCTGCATGGGTGGGGGGGAACTGGCGAGCGACGGCCGTGGAAATGCGCAATCCGTGGTAGTAGCGGAAGAACCCCGCACGTACGGTGCGAAAAAGTTCCACCTCTTTGCATACGTACAAGGGGATGACTGTTTGCAGTGGAGTCGTGCAGCATCTCAACGCGGCTGCGCGCGTGCGTGCGTGCGTTTTTTTTTGCTTTTGCAGGCGAATCGGTGCCCATCAACGCGGAGATCGAGAACTGCTCCTCCCGCCTGGTGGTGCCCAAAGCCGCCCTCTACCAGACGCAGACCTTCTGCGCCAAGGGCAAGCAGAAGGTGGTGCGCCAGCTCGTGTCCAACCTGCGGGGTGACTCAGTGTCTCCGGGGATGGCGGAGGCGTGGAACAGCAAACTGCTCAAAATCCCGCCCGTCTCGCCGTCCATTCTCGAGTGCACTCTCATCCGCGTCACCTACGAGCTGCTGGTGCGTCCCCCCACCCCGCAGCTTGAATGACTCCGTCGTATTCGGGAATGCGGCTGGTGGTTTTTCTAACCGGTGGCTGACATGTATGCTCGCGGCCAGGTGTGTGTGTGTGTGTGTGCACGTGCCTGCGTGCGAGGGGAGCGGTAGTGTAACGGTTTGCACACTGCGCTACAAACCCGTCGACCTGCGTTTCAAGTAGAGGTCGTTTCGTGTAACTTGATATTTTTTGTCACGTACGCTCGAATAGACTCGTTTGTACGATGGGTAGTGTGTGGGTAGCGGTTAGTGCGCTCTGCTATAAACGCGAGTCCCGCTCACGACCACCAACACAGTGACGATTATCTGAATCCGTCCTGGGACTCCCTTAGGTTGACTTGGCTACAATTTGAGATCCTGTTGCGTCATGTCATGAACATCGCCACTGGAAAGGCGTGGTGTTGGCTACCCCACCCCCTTGTGTGCTGTGCCAGCCTTCGTAGGCATTCGCTAACAGCACTTGCCCCAACAGTCTGTTAAGAATTTGCATTTTTTCCCTTGTGGTCGTGTGGATTTTTCTCCGGGTCCTCCGGTTTCTCCCCCCCCCCCCCCCCATTTTAGAATCAACATGTGTTTTAGAGTATTTGGCTGCTATAAATTTCCACTTGGTGTAAGCCACTACGTTGAGTTGCCATTTGTGGCCAGGTCACTTCTGATAAAGAGCTATATAGCTCAGTGGGCCTTACCTGGTAAAGACAAAAGTCTTGAGGCTATAACGGGAGATCTTTGTCTTGTGTCCTTACGCAGATTTACGTGGACATCCCCGGCGCGCTGCAGCTGAGCCTTAGCCTGCCGCTGGTGATCGGCACAGTCCCGCTGCACGCCTTTGGCAGCCGCACCTCCAGCATCAGCAGCCAGTGCAGCCTCGACCTGCAGTGGTTGCGCCTGGCGCTGCCCGACTCGCCCGAAGGTAAAAAGGTCGCTTCGCGCGCACCGCAAGGCCGGCAGGAATGGCGCAGCCGTGCCTTGGACGTTGGCTGGAATCTCGCCATCAGTGCGTGTTGCCCTTAAGGGGTTGGGTTGCCTAAATACAAAAATTATCGTATATTTTTTTTAACCTATTTCGCACCGTACGTAGCCAACCGTGCTTATTGGAGGTACGGGGGAAATACAACAGACTCAACACAAAAAGCAGTTATAAAGAAATGAGTTTTCAGGCCACAGGCCTGGTCACCGTGTACCTGGATTTAAAGGAGGGGTGGGTGTGGCGGTGGAGGGGGTTGGTAAGAGTGAGCTCTCGCACTCACATTCTCCTTTAGATGTCTCGTCGTTTTCGTGTTTCGCCGATTTCCTAACGAGTTTCTCTCGCCGGTGGGCAGCTTGCGCTAGAGACGGGTGAGAACCGCGTGGTCTTTCCCGCCCCCCCCCCCCCCGCGCTCAGAGCCGCCACTGTACGCGGACGTGGTGAGCGAGGAGGAGCGTCAGAGGAGTCTTCCGCCGTCTCGGCCTCGGGACGAGTTTGAGGGCGCCCTCGCGCGCCCCGTCTACGCCTATGTGCAGGAGTTCCGCTACCAGCCTCCGCCACTCTACTCTGAGGTGCGTCCATACTTGGGGGACCTGTTATGCACCATCCGTGGATTTTGGTGGGGGGGACAGTCTTGAAGTTGTTTTGCAGTGAAAAATATTTTCCTTTTGGGCACAGCTGTAAGCACCAGATGAAGGAGGTCTTGGTGTAAATTTCCCTAGAAATGTGTACGCATACACACAACCCGCATTTTCGTTCACTTGTCCATCCGTTGTCGCTTGGTGGCTGACCAGGCTGGACGAACTTCCTTCCCGCCTCTGGCCATGGCCACGTTCTCTCTCTCTCGCGCGTCTCCTAGTCCTTTACGCCGTCAATCTACCACCCCCCTGCACACCTTGCGCCTTCCACATGGCAGCGCGAGGTAATGGGGGTGGTAGTTTGTCGGCCTCCATCCTTTCAATTTTCCCCAAACCGAATCAAAACGAGTCTCTGTCGAACGTCGTTTCCCTTAAAACCCTCCCGGCACGTCAAGCGAAATGCCTGGTGTGCTGTAGACGGGGCCACGCCACTGGCCTGATTGCTATTGACGCTCGTAGAGGGCACACAGGGTGGGGGGGGGGGTTAGGGGGGGTGTCAGCCAGATCCCCGGGAGAGTTCCCGGAATATTGTGTTTTCCAGACCCCCTCGGTTTGAGCACAGCCCGCACCGTGACACCAACACCCTTCTGTGTCGATTGCTTACAGCTTCATAAGTGTCTTCCCCTCCCCACTGCCTTGCACTGCACATAATACCATGGGTGGACCTGGTTGCGGACAGCATTGCAGAGATTATGCCTAGCGTAGTACTACCACCGCGTAGGTTTTTAGCTGTAGTGTGTGTGTGCCACACAGCTGTCCGGGTTGCACCGTGTCTTTTGTGTTTGGCACAATGGTCCGAAGTGCTGCTTCGTGTCCTGGGAGCGTCATCACTATGTTGGGGAACCAGCTCGGGCGTGGATGGTCATGGTTGTGTTTGTGTGTGTTTTTTTTATAGAACCACAGTGGTTAAACTCGATCCTCCTTTCCCGCAGCTCGATCCTCACCCATCGGAAACCAGCGAAAGGATCCCCTCGCACTGAACCTCGGAGACAACGCGAATATCCGACCCGGTGAAACCGACGGGAGGAGCTGCACCCCCCCCCACCTTCCCCGCGGCTCTGCAAGGTGTGCCGCGGAGAACACCGCGGCCGCCGTCGTCGCGACGAGGTTGGCGGCGACCGATTTGCGCCCACTTCCCCGCCGCCCCCTCCCCACCCCGACTGGGGTGGCCGTCGTTCTGCTGCTGCTGCTACGTGGCGGACGCGACGGCGACGACTGCGAGACTGGAAGTACCAAAGCACAGCAAACAAAAAAACGAAAGCGAGAGACGCAGACTCGCGGAGCACTTGCGCGCCGGTACCATTCTTCTTCGGAGAGAGAGAGAGAAACCTGACCCCCCCCCCCCCCCGCTTCATAAAGAGAACGGTTTTATAGGAACACGGACGGGATTGTGTGTGCGTAGCGCTGGGACGAGGACACTTTTTGGGGGAAGGGGGTGGGGGGAGGGGTTTTCCCCCCATGCAAGAGTGAAGAATGGTGCTGAAGAAATAAAAAAAACGAAGCTTACTTTTAGATGTAAGTATTACTTATCTGTGGTTTACATGCTGTGTTGCCTCTGTTCACATGGAAAACACATTTGACGTCATTATCATCGTCACCGACCCTGCGTTGGTTTTTCTCTCATGGGCACGGCCTAGCGCTAAAGTAAAATATGTTTGGTTAAAGCTTACTTTTGCCAACAAAAACACTCAGGTAATGCAGCTATGCGATTTGTTATTTCTGTTTGTATATTATTGCGAGTTCCTGTGTGCACACGCGCTTGTTCAAAGTTTTGTATTATTATTTCCCTTTTGCAACTCGTTCATATGAATTCTGCATGTTCGATCACACTAAACATGAATGTACGGTTTTTTTGGGGAACAAACTACTTAATGATTAAAAATAAAGTTCACGTGGAGGGATATAAAAAAAGCATCACAAACGTTGAGTTAAAGCAAAGAAAAACTCATTCGAAGTGAAGATTTGACGCGGGGGTTTAATTTTTCCATGTGACTTGGAAGGCCCATTTCATTCCATGCCCTCGGTCCGAATGTAAACCCACAGATGTTCCTTGTGCAATAATTGCTTTCGAGTGACGGGGAGTTCCGTCTTTTGAATTCCTATCCACGTCAAATACAGGGCATTTGTATCGTTTTCATGATATAACAAAATAAAAAAAACACATCGTTTGTGGAGGAAACGCTAGCCACCCTGGTTGTGTGCGTGGGCGCGTGTTGTTTTTTTTGTGTTGGAACAGTTTTTAAACGTAGGAAGTTGCTTGTACATGGTGAGTTGGATAACTGTAGCGATTCTCTCCTTTTTTTGTACCGGAGTCTTGTGTTCACTTTATTTAGAGACGTGTATTGGAATGCGTTCTAGAGATATTACACACCATATACAATCACTGCTTCCTCTTCCTATCGTAATCTGTATCCCCGTTCTTTTTTGACGGACATCAATCGTAGCACTTTTTTCTTTCGGGGCGGTGGGGGGGGGTGGATCAGGGGCCGTTTGCTTCGTTTAATGTTACATTGTGAATTGGGGGGGGGGGGAGTGTGGGTGGCTCAGCTGCAAGGTTTTTAGAAACGAATAAAAAGAAAAGTTAAGCTAAAAAGTATTTGTTGGTGTGGCGTTGCCACTCGTTGTCGCCTGCATGCTGCGTGCCGTGCCGGCAGCTGGTCGGGCCCCCCTCTGCTGGAACACTCCAGCCAGCCGTGTTGCGTTACTTCCCCACCCCCGACCCCCTCCCGCTGTTACGAGCGACACGCAATTCTCCCGGTCTCTTGTGTTGGTTGGAAACCCCTTTTACGATGCGGTTTGCGCCTCCCCTTTGCCAAATAAATCAAAGCAAAATGAACTCTTGTGTTTATTCCGCTTGTTCCCATGCACTCTTGGGCCACGTATGTGCGTGTGTGTACGTGGAATGGTCTTGCTTTAGTCGTGGGGAACGTGAAATTTTAAAGTGTTCCCTGTTAGGTTTTTGTTTTAAGAGACCCGCTTCCTATCCCGGCATTTGAATGCGCAGCAGATCTTTGCATCTGCCTGCTCCTCACGAATTGACAGTAAAAAAAATAATCCTCGGCCATGGTCTACCCACTGCTGGACGAAGGCTCACCACAAACTGCCATAACCGTGTGGCTCCTGCACGAGCTGTGTTTTAATGGCTCCATCTCCACATTAGACGTACCTCGGGACTGTTTCCTCCTCTTGGCTGCCTCTCTGTTGGTCTCCCGCCGTCCCTTCTTAGCGACGTGTCCAGCGGGAGCCCACTTTTACTTAAGTCCACAATTACATCTCGGTCTTGCATGTTACGTGTTCCGTGTCCTTATGTCTCTGTGTAATGCGGTGACGTTCGCTCTCATACCCCCCCCCCCACCGCCCAAGGGTAATGCAGCCGGCGCTAAGGTAAATATTAATGATAACAGCGATAGCGTGCCAAGTTGAACATCGAGATATGGAGGGTAAACAATTCTCAAAATTTCACTCGAGCGGGAAAATTCTGCCAAGCCTGCGTCATCGGAACGACCCGCGAAGCAACAGAACAGCGAGGCTTGCACCCCCCCCCCCCACTCCTTAGCAGAGATGGGGGGTTGAGAAAACTGGTGGCTTTGGGTAAGTCCACGACCCGAGAATGAATGATGACCAGTGGGTTGACGAGTGAACAGGGCAGCTAAAGGAGAGAGAATGCTCTCTTCGTGTGCGTCAAATGCGGAGATGGAGCAATGAAATTGGCTTGTGTAATATGAGCAAAGGGTGGGATTGTTAAAGTTGCAAGAGCTTGAGAGACGGTTTTGGTCAGGGGTCGGCAACCAAAATAACAAGAAGAGCCATTTCTTTCCAATTCGGTACAAAATTCAGTATTTCAAGAGCCGCAATGCATCTGAGTACATATACGTACATACGTACATATCGTCAAGAAGCAGCCCGTAAAGAGCCGCATGCGGCTCCGGAGCCGTAGGTTGCCGACCCCTGGTTTTGGTGGATGTCTTCACCCAACAGTGGATCGATCGTGGCTGGGGCAGAGGTTTCGAAATGTAGCTGCATCTCAATACGAACAGAACTCGTGCACAACGAAGAGCCACCAAAAATATGCCTAACTTTTTGTATTTTAAGAAACTTACAGCAGGTTTGTGGTGATTCACCTAGTACAGTGGTTCTTAACCTGGGGTGCGAGATGCCCTTTCAGAAGGTAAATGATCCGAACACGAATTAAGCACGGTCAGTACAACCACTTCTTCATCAGACTGCAGCAGTGGAATCTCCTGGCAGGTGATGTTAGGGTTTCCATGTTCCGTGACCGTCAAAAGGATCTTGTCCCATTCTTCATGGGAGGTGATCTTGTAACCTGCAACAACATCGATGGTGTAATGGCAGCCCTTAACATGGTTGTTCATGATCCAGATGAGTGGAGACTATTCATTGATTCATAGAAGATGAGTCTTTAAGCTGTTTTGCTACATAATGGCAATGTTTTGACATTTTAGTTTTTTTACTTAGAACCAAAAGGGTGTAAGGCTGCGGTAAAGGTTATGAAACCACTGGCCTAGCTTATCTCCTACCCGGAGATTCAACGGATTGTCACGAGTCGGAATTTCAATTATTGTAAGCAATCCATTTACGTTGTGAACATTGTTGTAAAAATAGCAGCTTGGGAAACAATAAACTGTTTACCAGACTCGTGCGTCAATTCCACTTCCACGACTCGGCTTCAAAACAAAGACGAGCTCCCAGTGAATGTCAGGAACAATCCCTTCCTGCACCGAGACAGAATGACCGATAAAGCCTTGTGGATGACCTAACGCAGAAGACCCCTGGGTCTGATCTTCCACGAGGTTCACAGTTTATCCTCGGCCACATCCACTGCAACAAACCGTGGCAGATGCGGATAACCTGATTGCACAAATGGAAAATTAAAAACTCTCCAGTGTTGTAGTGTGCGACGGCTGTGGTCATCCAGAGCAGAGGCCGTACACCATACAACGACGCAATGCCCCGATCCGCAAATACGAAGGAGACGTTGCAGCGATCGCTGCTCCTCCTCGACGCGGCTATCTTCTGGCCTGACCACGTGAATGTGAAATTGTAGTCGTTTCGCTGCGTCAACAGCAGCCGTACGACAGAAGATGACAAATCGAATCGAGCAGAGCGTCATTCAATAGTGAGTTCGGTGCCATCTGCGATTTGGCAGGCTGTGATTTTTTTTTTGCTGCTGCTAGTGTTGTGCTGCGTTATATCACGTCCGATGACTCGATCACTCAAGCACTTGGAAGCATATCCAGTTCCTTCCACGTGGTGGGAGCATATTCATTTCGTGAATATTCATTTCGTGAATAAGCTCCCAGCCATTGGCGCGAAACGTCGGCCATCGTGTCGAACAAAGTACGGTACGACCCGAAAACATCGGAGTGCTGACTTTACAGCCTCTCCCCTTCGTAACAACAGGGGGGGGGGGGGAAATAAAAAATATATAAGCTCGCACAGTTGAGCTCGGTGGGAAAGGACGGGACGAGCCTGGCTCTGGCTCAGAGCAGCTCGTATTCCATGACCACAGCCGCAGGCCAAGTCCCGCGGACGGCCAAGCCGGATGCCCTCTGTGCCGACGGCCCTGAATCTGCACAAGTGGCGCTGATACCATCACCATGCACCAATCTCTCACCATTACCAATCCCACACAGCCCCCACCACCACCACGACACCCACATCGCAAAATGTGGCTAAAATAAGACCCGGAGACGTTAGCCCTTACGGTCTGGCACTTCTTGCAGAGCCAGCGGTAGGGATACGACGTGGGGTGCCATCCAACGATGGTGATGGATCATTGAGAGGGTGGGATGGGTGACTAAAAAGAAATTATATTTTCCCTACCACCTACTCCGTAGTGAGATGACGAAAGAGATCTGGGCAAAAGATAGAGATGGAGCGAGATAGCGATAGGTGCAGATGAGACGGAGTTGTAGTGAAATGAAGAGAGATACCGACAAGAGGGGGAGATTGAGGTCGACAAAGAGAGGGATTAATGGGACGTTTCACGTTTATCAACTTCGTGTGTTTATTCGCCTCTTGAATTCGAGCCGATAATCTCTGCCATGGAGGCTGGCGCCCCCTTGAGCTACTTGGGACTCGGTTTGATTGCGTTACGCGCCACCACTGCACCCGCATTCATGGTTGCTGAGACGGCCACCTCGATGGGGATGGGGGTAGTGATGGGGGGGCAGTGGGGGGGGGGGTAATTAACAACACACACAGTTGCGCAGCGTTTTGTGTACAAATATTTCAGCCTTATCCAGACCAACAACTCAAGAGAACTAACGTTTGACCGGCGGGGAGTGGTGGTGGTGGTGGGAAGTCTGTTTTTTTGCGGTTAATACACTGCGCTACTTGAGATAAATTCCCAGCCATGTATGGACAACTGAATGGGCATTGACCGGCGTGGTGATGTATGGTCGAACAAACTCCAAACTACCGGCTTGGTATCTGGGGAGGACTTCATCCAGCAGTGGAATGAGAAAAGGGCCGTACACGTGGATGATATTTGCCGTCGTTTCACGTGACCGCAGAAATTGTTTCCACAGGGAAAAAAAAACATCTAATTCATTTTTGAAGCTTGAAGCCAAGATTTTTTAAATTAAATTTCCGATAGTTTAAACTAAAAAAACAATGTTAGTTGGAACAATAAGCCGAGTGTATGGTATTTTGTGAGCAAGGAATAGGTTTTCCATGTATTATTTGTAACGAGTGACATCCTATTCCATACAACCCAAGCATGCTGTGCAAGACACAGGGGGAGGTCCATGACCGGGTCAAGGTCAAGGTCAACTATGGGTTGACGGGGCGGCTTTTTTCCGTGTGAATTGGCTTTTCTTTAAACAGTTGCTGAGCGCAAACCCAAAGACCTAAAATGTCAAGCGGCCAGCAACAAATAGCACCGTCAAAGTAGTTATAGGTGACGATGGTGATAGCTATAATAATGGTTAGTTATATTTCGCGCCGTTCAGAAAATGTCATCTCACAATCGCTGAAGACGCACAAGTTGGGTGGGTTTAGTTTTTTTCAGTGTAAAATTCGTGGTGGAGCCGGCGCAACCAGCAATTCCTCAAGCTCTGCAGTCCTCTCTATATTAAGATGTTTTCATCCAATCAGTGGCGATGGGTGTTTATTGCATTGGGCAAGGTTATTGTAAGAGTTGTGGAAACGAGACGATGACGAGGGAGGAGGGAATTCCACCAAAGTGGGAGAAGCAGAAAGAAGAAATTCAGGTGACCTGCCGTGTGGTGAGTGGGTGAGTGAGTGGTGGGTGGGTGGTGAGTGGTGGTGAGTGGGTGGGGTGGATGGGTGAGTGAGTGAGTGGGTGGGTGGGTGAGTGGGTGGGTGGGTGAGTGGGTGAGTGAGTGGGTGGGTGAGTGGGTGAGTGAGTGGGTGGGTGAGTGGGTGGGGGTTTTGTGGGTGAGGAGCGGTAGTGTAGCGTTAGCGTGCTGCGCTACGAACCTGGCGACCCGGGTTTGATTCCCGCTCACAGCAAATACCAGTGACGATTACACTGGTCTCCAGCCAAAATTCTTCCGAAATAAATGTAGTTCAACTTTACGAATTGTGGGATACTGAGAATGAGAATGATGCTTAAAATTGTTGATTGGCTCTAGTTTTCAAGATGTGCTCCCGGGTCAATATATGCGACCCTTGACTCGGGAATGGCAGAGGAGAAGTGAGTTATATAGGGAATGGATCTCAATTTAAACCAGAAATGACTAACATACATCTTTGACTGGATCTATGAATAAATCTATGACTAGGTTTGGACAGTACTTGCTTTTTGAGCAAAACAATGAATGATGCAATTTGAACCTGCTATTGCATCAT